ATTAGTAATTTGTTGTTATTTTTTCATCAGCATGGCATCCCATAAATTCCATATGTAACTTTTTTATATTTTAAATTATTTTTTAAGGTTTATTTGTGAGCCTATTTTAATTTATAAAGAAATTCTGCACATCTACAGGCGCAAATAACTTTCTCAGTATGCGTAGATTTTCCCTGCGATGCACACGAGTTAAGAAATTAGGCTTTAAAGAAACATGCTTACCTATTAATATATAGATCTTGCAGAATGAGTTAACTATATGCAAATATATGCGAGGTCTACCCTGCCTAATGTGATGTAAACACGTGACATATTTTCACGCAGTATCTAAATATCTAATTCCGTAAGCCCAAAATTTTACAATGAAATTGTGAGCGAACGGGAGGCCGTAGAAAGCTGGGAGAGGTCTCATTTTAAAGGTCTGGGCATGAAATTTTGGGGAAAATTATTCATTTTTCTTAATTATTCACCAAAAGGTTGTTACAGAATAAAATAATTCACATTTAAATAGCATGGGAATCTAATTTTATGTATTTTTATTTAGTGGAAACACAGCTGTGATTATATAAATTTAAGCAATTATAACCACACCTGAATGTGCATTATTTTGTTATTGTAAAATTGTTAGTGAAGTAGTAAACAAGACAAAGTGGAACTTAGATAAAATCTTTTGAACATACAATTTGATACTTTTAAACTAAATACTTTACAATGGATTGTTCTTTTGCACGGTAATGTTTTTGTATAATGTCGGAAGACTACCACCAGGGTATACTCAATGCTACCACGCATAGGTATTGTTCCTCGAAATGAGAACAACAGGCACCTGATTTGGCACGATATTAATGGAAGAAGATTAAATGAGAATCGGATGAACATTAATTTATTCCTGTTTATAGATTACCACTTTTAAATGAGATTGCATTACACAGCGTAGGACCAATGAACGATGGGCGCATTCATTGTGGTATATTGCGCAATTTAATTTGGTGAAATTATGGCGCAAGGAACACAACCGAACCTTCACAAAAGTTGGCATTCATTTGAAAAACCCAGTTTTAACCATGGTCAACTTTATGTTGCTTTTAGATATGTAAAGAGGCCAGATGATCTTAAAATAGTACTAGAACCAAATAAAGACCAAGGAATCGACCAAAATGGATACCATACAACAAGTGTTGTTTCAGAGAGAATTTTGTTATATAATTAGCTTTTACAATTTGGATGATGACATTATCTCTAAGCGTTTTTCCAAGAGAATTTGTCTATATTTAAAGAAATCTATATATATTTAATTAATAGTCATAAAGATTGTTAATGGAAAATGTTTCTTAGCTGTATTATGATTAGAAAGTTTATATTATAAAACACACCGCATGTCCTTTGGAATTTTTATTTTAAACAGAGCAGAAATCAAAATGCATTATGCAGGTACTATGTAATAACTATTATACATATCATAATATACAAAAATGTTAAATGATAATTCAAGGTAGGGTAACCCATGAGACTAATAATTTGTACAAAATAATTACTAGAATATAGGGGCTATTGCCCCTACAAGCCACTAGTTGAATATATTAGCATAACGTTTAATCCTATAAATTAGTTAGTACAATTTAGCTTAAAAAGACTATATATTGTAAATTATGATTTATAAATAGATCAGTTCGACACCTAATACGACAAATCACCTAATAGTCAATTCACCTATACGACAAAAACTTTATTTATTATGTTTGGAGATATATTACAAAGGGTGAGCCGGCGCAGACCAAGAATGGACCAACGTTGACAATTTTGAGTTGTAGCGCCGATACGAGCAAGCAAAACATCGCCTTGGTTTCTCCACTAAATCATTGACAACAGTAGGCTATAAATTAAACGATTTTATCAACGATATCACTGTCCGCCGTGCTACCGATACAGTCACCAAATCACCAGTTTTGACTCAGGTGTCTATTCCCTTACACCCCGTGGTCTGAGGCCGTTCCAAGCAACAACCACCGAGGCACGTGGCTGACGTATGACTACATAATCACCGTGTGGTGACAAATCTCTCATACAGTTCATCCCCCTCCCCTCCCCTTCCCACACCCCCTGTCGTGGCTTCCAGGCGATTAGATATTCATCTCGCCGATGATCCGTGAGAAACAATTGGCTTCAAATTACTGATGTGTTCGTGGCCTACGTAATTAAGTATACAGTTGGATTTGCTCGATAATTGTCAAATATGTAGTTTAGAAACTGTAAACGATCTTTCAATAAGTTAGGCCTACCTCATTGTCAAATTAATGGTTTTAGTTAATATTTTCTACGATTTACTGGTTTACTGTATGATTGTCTGGAGAGCCAATTAATTGGTTATAAGCACCGACTCTTTGGCGTAGACAATAAAAAATACCTTCAGGGTTGCTGGTTTAATATAGAAAGGTGTCAAGTATATTCTGTACCTAGATGTCATTTTGTATTGGGCTATCAATTTATGATGCAATCTAACAGAAACAATGTCAGTTGGTAACAAAATCAGAGTTTTGATATCAACATTTGGAAACCGTTTCTTCACAGTAGATGAGGGTGGTTTACAGAGTTATTCACTCATTATACATAAGCTTAAGAATTGCACACTCTGTTCTCATGTTAAAGTTGTTCCTAGTTAGTAACTTTAGAAGACGCTTAGACTTTTATATAATGGGATATATATCTGGTGTTTAGAGATCCTATCAGTTTGAAATTGCAATAAAATAAACCCAATTCAACTTATTCTCACAAGTTAGCTGAAAATCACACAAATCCACCTTTGTATTATAACTAGTTGTAACCACTTCCTGATATAACAGCTCAGTGATAACAGGTCACGAAACGTAAAGTTGAAATGTTTTTAACTCGCTACATGATCTAGACGTCGTCATAAACTCGTTTTGATTTACGGCCGAAGTTATTCGAGTCGCCAAAGTATACATTATAGTAATGGCATTGCGCATTTCGCCGTGCAAGCCAGCCTAGCATCGCGTGCCGGGAAATATTGGACGCTTCTGCTGAATTATTTCCATGCATACTAGAGACTTGTTGGCCAATAAACGGGTCTAACTGAATTACTTTATACTGTCTTTGTTTTGGTGAAATATGCCAATGGTTTGGTTGGTTTAGTAAATGTATTTTTACAACTCGCGATCCACAAATTTTTAGGAAATAGTTCAGATCTTTTCATTTTATTCACAGTAGTTAGGTTAATTTTACAAACTAGTTTGCTGATTGTTTCATATTTAACCTCTACGGAAATACTAGGCATAATGGAAATTATTAACTTAGATTATACTTTATATTAAAAACTACGTTGAATATTTTTATCACATGAAAGAGTTGCGGAGATAATTCTCCGATGATGAGAGGGAGATCGGCTAGTATTAGTGGCCTATATTTCTTCGTTTTTTTTTGTATTAGTGGGCCTTCTTATTAAGTTAAGTTATATTAAGTGTGCCTAAACCAATTGGTCAAGGCATTATCATATCGATAAAAGTGATTGGAGATAAACTAAGGATTGTACCTACACTTTTTTGGGGGGTGGGGGGGAGGGAGGAGTTAATTTACATGGACAAATTATTAGTTTTCTGCTCATCAGAAGTTGTTTTGAATTACGTAGCTAGTTATACAAGTAAATAATGTCATAGCCATCAAATATGCCCTTACAGATTATGATTGTTGGGTACAGTATTATTGTTATGGTGGCATGATCGGGATTTATTTTTTTTAGCTTTTTTAAGTTATTTATTTTTTAAGTTTTCATCGTAGGATTATTTTATATTTACTTGTTTCGCTAAAAGATTAAACGCATAATAACCTATTTCAATTTTATTATAACTATAAATAGATGTGATTGGTGCTGTTATGTTATTATGAACGTGAATATTTTATTACCACTCTCGAACTTACTCCTTTCTAAGACTGATATAAAAAAAAATATATTTCCTAGATTTTAGTGCTTTGTTTTGTGAATTTTTTAATCAGAAAATTTAAAAATTATTTATTAAAAAGAAAGTTAATCAATATTGTAAGGTATATCGCTGATCATTATTAAGTAAAACTAGTGTACAAACTAATCATTTTCGCGCATAAATCTTTTAGGATGTTGTTTTGGATTCGTGTGACAACTGAATAAATTTGCTTTTTGTTGATTCACTGTATGCGTAACCAAGCGCAATTTATTTTATGTAGGTATTACTGTTGAGTGTTGAAGGATTGGGAAGCAGCCAAGGTGCAATTTCACGTAGTATAGATAAAGCCCTGATGAAGGCCGTCTGTTTCTTCGCATAACGCAATCGGTAATTAAAATAACTATGGATCAAATTTCCAAGATACTCTGTAAAAACTCAAAATGTGCATACTGTACTGCTAAAGCAATTCTAAAACTTAAAAAAACTAAAATGTGTAAACTGCATACTGCACTAGAATTTCAAACATACTTACAGCAAAAAAATCTAACAATTGCCGATAACAAACAAATCCTGTTTAGAATATTTTAATAATTCAAAACTCCTAGGCTTGCCACTGACTAAGTGGCTCGTCGACGCAGGTGGCGTATAATACTGATTGAATTACAGCTAGTGTGAACGACGACCGAGGGGGGGCGGCGCGCGACTGGTCTCCGGGGGACTACAACCCCCCCCCAGGGGGCGGCGACCCCCCCCAGCCGGGGGCTAATGATAACATAAACACTCCATCACGCTGGACGGCAAATCGACGGATTAATATGTATGTTATGTTATGTACGGATGTTATGTTGTATGTTCTGGTGAGATTCGATGTGATTCAGGGATATGCTCTGTGATCATTTGTAACTGGATGGTCTTACAAGCTCTCGAATATAAAAAAGTGGAATTGACAGAAGCTTAAAATGGTTTTAAGGTCTGGTTCTTTAAATTTACGGTATGATATAGTATGACACATCTACCATAGCCATATGTTCTACCACTGCACCTAAACATATGCTCGTTTTTCAGGAGGGAGGAGGAAATGGACTGTATGGAGGAAATGTTTACAAATATTGATTCCTCAAGACAAGATCTCAGTCATATGCTGCTCCAAAGGAAAAGGTTTGTTATATATTTTCAAAATAATAATTAAAATAAATTAAATATATTATAACTTTGACTATTAATTAAAATAATAAGGAAGAAATAATTGTTGTAAAAATAAATTACGATCACCCTGTGTATTTTATTGAAGTCTTTAACCCAAGTTTTAATATTGTTTTGCAGTTCTATATAATTTTATGAAGTTTTGAATTCATCTCAAATGATTTATACCTAATTGGGTTTTTTGCATGGAACGATTTTTAGATTATAAAAACTATTGTTTATTGTTACGTATTTATTAGAGAGTTAAACGAGCATGTTTGCCATCTGTCAAGATACATCTTAGTTTAGCTGATTTATATTGGTATGTCATAAGCATATCTTAAAGTTAGTTTTGAATTTTTGTAATGCAGTTTTATTTTATGTACATTATAGTGCTTACCGTTGACTAATAAATAAATAAACAAACAAACGAACATACGAAACCAACAATTACACAAACAAGCAATACACTTATAAATTAATGAATAAATCTGTAATAGCGATAACACGTATCAAACTGATACAGAATAGAAATTCTTCAGTTAATCAGTATAAGACAAGTACTTTATATTTAGGATATAAATAAAAATATATATTTTAAAATAACAAAAAATATTTGTCCATGCCACACGCAAGATTACGGTTGATGGACCAATCTTGTTGAAAAGTTCCGATTCCGACATCGTTCCTCCTCTCCGCAACAGTCAATATTGAGATTGGCGTATGTCGTAGCCGTATTTCAAAATCCCATCGCCCCGATGTTATATTATTCAAGGGGCAATAACTTGAAGCCACCGTGCGTGCTCAAAATGTAGGTCTCCGGCCCACGGCCTAACAACCATAAAGTCCTTTCTTAAGCGGCACGAGTCTCGGATAGTATCGATTTCACTTAACTAATACACTGAGTTAACAACTATTCTGTGTTTACATTGAGTTTAAATACTGATCAGGCATTTTGGAATTGTGGGTTGTAAAAGTTTGACAATGATTTTAAAAGTCGTAAAAGGTTTTGAAGATGTGTCACATTTGTTCGTTGGTTCGACGTTGCTCTGATTTAAATTTATAATTTCTATATTAATTTTTGTTTTATTAAATATTCGGTTCATCATTTTAATGTTGTACCATTAAGTTTCTGTATAATCGAGAAGAATTTCGTCAACAAATATTATATTCCTAGTTTATTCGTGAGCCAATCCGGGATGATTTCAATTAAGCATACTGTATTTGTAAAAAAATCTAAACAAGTCTTCAATGTCATATCCATTCCTGACATGTTTGTATTAAGAACATTTAAATTCAATACCTTAACCTTAAACTTGGCTTCAATTCGAACGTTTCAATCGTTGTCGATCTTTAAAATAATCACAACCCTGACTTTAAACACTTACGTGTCAAAAGATTAATTATTTCAAACTATTTTACGATCGTATTCCAAATATAAAAATCCTTACTTAGACAAGTTTTACTTAGAACTGGATCTAGAGCATTTTACAATACAAAGATACATCCTCTACATCAAGTTCCTGTTTTACTTTGAAGTAATTTACGGCAGTAATAGTATTTGCCCACCATTTTGTTACTAGTCTCGGTGTTTCTTATTCAATTTACACAAATGTTACTGCCACAGGGACAGAGATCGGTGTGAGGTACAGTCTGTTCTCAGTAGAGAAGAACGGAGAAGAAGACGAAGAGCTACTCAGAAGTACAGGACTGCCCATGCTACCAGGTAGATACAGTACTATTTTATCCTCACTATACTTCCTAGGACTGTGCTCTAGTCTGGAACAGTTTTACACATTACTTCAGGCTACACCTAACAGCTCACCATTGGTTATTACATAGTTAAGCATGATCACACAGCTAAATCCATCGCTGGTTTGAGGTATTTTAACCCGCAGACTCGGCTACTACATTTTGCTCACCGTCCATCAGGACATTGTCATAACTTTTCAGGATGATGTCTTGTATCATATATGTATCTTCTTGCGCCTGATAATGACGAGAACTTGCAGAGTAGGTTTCGAGGGGGTGTAACATTGGAAACATCCCCTACAAGAAGGACGATGCCTGGGAGCCGCTCAGTACAGTCACTGGGATAGCTCCTAAGGTCGAACGTAGAACATAAGAATCAGAGATATTTTAACATCTCCCAGAATACTCCTACACTTAAATACATGTTTAATATCAATTCAACCACTAACGTATTTCCTAGGGATCTTTCATGCCACTTTCACAAATTAGACTTAAGAATGGAACATGTAACCCAATGAAATAGTTTCTTTGATAATTATTACTAGCCATAGTGGAAATATTTTTACTGAAGGCCCTATTATGTTACAGAGAGCGAGTGCGAGTTGAAGCGTTCAACGTGGCTTTTTGTGAACTGAGGAAGCTGCTCCCGACCCTGCCACCGGACAAGAAACTGTCCAAAATCGAAATCCTGCGCCTCGCTATTTGCTACATCGCCTACCTCAACCATGTCCTGGACGCATAGACCTTATTTCAACACAACATCCCAGAAGATATTCATTCTGTTTACGTTTCGTTTTCGCAAGACTGTTGAATATATTTCGTCTCACAAGGGACAACAGAATTTCTGAATATGATACCAACTGATTACCGGTTACCATTATAAATGTATGTCTAATACTGGGTCCTTTTCTTAAAGAACAACTGATTAGATTCGAACCTCCCAGATTAAAAATGACTTCCTTATACTTTGAAACTAATAATTTACAACGTTGTTTGAAGTATGATTTACTCAAATATTTACTGTAAAACACAATTTTTATCCATTCAGATTATTTAACCTACAACGAAAATATTTATATAGCTGCAATAAAATGTAATAAGTGCAGAGACGTTATGTAGAAGCTTATAATTGAACTTGTTTTAAAAACAAAAAGGGTAGGATATTTGCGAGAAGAAACCGCTGCAACCTAGCGGCCAAGCTGATAACTACGATTGTAGACACCCATCCGTTTACGCTTGGATGTTACCTCTGTAATCTTTACGCTATTGTAATAATGCCCGACATCCATAATTGCCAAAGATCGCTTTGTAAATCTTATATATTAAAAAAAATTGGTTTTTCTTTTCCGAGTTCGTTTGGCTCTTCTACCCGACCGATTTTCATGATTGAGGTCTCAAATTGAAGGTATGCACGCTCAGATTTGCCATCAAGCATCGGCATATATTTATCTATAATCCTACTCGGCTTATACGTAAAAGAAATTTGCTCCCCATGTTATTCTTATGGGAGTTAAATTTGGTTTATCTTTGCCGAGTTCGATCGGCTCTTCTACCCGACCGATTTTCATGATTGAGGTCTCAAATTGAAGGTATGAACGCACAGATTTGCCATCAAGCATCGGGATATATTTATCTATAATCCTACTCGGCTTATAAGTAAAAGAAATTTGCTCCCCATGTTATTCTTATGGGAGTTAAATTTGGTTTATCTTTGCCGAGTTCGATTGGCTCTTCTACCCGACCGATTTTCATGATTGAGGTCTCAAATTGAAGTTATGCACGCACAGATTTGCCATCAAGCATCGGAATATAGTTATCTATAATACTACTCGGCTTATACGTAAAAGAAATTTCCTCCCCATGTTATTCTTATGGGTGTTAAATTTGGTTTATCTTTGCCGAGTTCGATTGGCTCTTCTACCTGACCGATTTTCATGATTGAGGTCTCAAATTGAAGGTATGCACGCACAGATTTGCCATCAAGCGTCGGGATATATTTATCTATAATCCTACTCGGCTTATAAGTAAAAGAAATTTCCTCCCCATGTTATTCTTATGGGAGTTAAATTTGGTTTATCTTTGCCGAGTTCGATTGGCTCTTCTACCCGACCGATTTTCATGATTGAGGTCTCAAATTGAAGTTATGCACGCACAGATTTGCCATCAAGCATCGGCATAGATGTATCTATAATCCCACGCGGATTATACGTAAACGAAATTTGTTCCCCATGTATTTCTTATGGGATTTAAATTTGGGGTTTCTTTGCCGAGTTCGTTTGGCTCTTCTACCCGACCGATTTTCATGATTGAGGTCTCGAATTGAAGGTATGCACGTACAGATTTGCCATCAAGCATCGGCATCAATGTATCTATAATTCCACGCGATTTCTACGTAAACGAAATTTGCTCCCCATGTATTTCTTATGGGAGTTAAATTTTGTTTCTCTTTGCCGAGTTCATTTTAATACTATTTAAAGGTTCTTCCAAAGGAAGAGATACCATATAACATACTAATAATAACTCCGATGAAGTAGGCCTACGTATGGGAATTATTTTATTGATTGAATGATCAACTAAATGTGTCAACTAACGCAATTAAAATCATGATTGTTTTTACACTTATTACTCTTTAAACAATGCTAAATGCTCAAAATATGTATATTTCGCCCAATTTATCGCAGTTAGATGATTTAGAAGCCTTGAAAGTAACCGTCGATTTCGACGGGTTTCACCTAGTATTGTTATTGTTTGTGTACTTTTAAATAAACATTAAACATGAGGGAGGGTTTTAATTTGGTACCCCTACCAAAGATACATTGATGAATATTAATTTTCTGTGTCTGCTAATAGTTCTTAGTGTATTATTGACTGTTTAAAGTGCGATTAGACATTATCATATTGTCTGAATGTGTTTGATGTATATTTGACACCTAGTATGACTACGCCGGTGTCAAATAGGAAGTGTTTATATTAGAATACATTTTAGAGCTTGTTCTTTAGCTATAAAACCGGGGAATATAACATATATATAGCTAGCCTAATCAATATTTTACAAAATGGCGTTTCAATTTTGTTTAAATAATTGTGTATTTGGTTAAATAACAATATTCAATAAATAAATCGTAAGAAAAAAGCCGTTCCAGGCAGGACAGAGAGAACCCTTAAATGTTTTTACTTCTTAAGCTGATCTAAAAGAACAATGTTAAACGTTGGATCTTATCTTACAATAGGATAATTTATGTTTGCTGTATGCATGTACAAATCGCACACTTTGGCTTACTAATGGTGAAATGGGTTTAAACTACTGCTGGAAACTTGATGTTACCGTGCCTGACTCATCTCACATCCAAGGATTCACAATGGTCATTTCGGTCTCCGATGGGATCAATCTCTCCTGGGAATGGAACAGTCCGATCCAATGTTCCGGACGACTGTCCAGCGCTTCTGCGAACTGGGAAGATTATCGGAACTAACGATTTCGGGCCCTCTTGAACGTGATTTGGCGATTCCGCTCTTTTGGAACGTATGAACAATTGTACGCATAAAATGCTTTGTAGTACTACTTTTGTTTTGGGGATCTTAATTAATATTTGCCATGAAAAACATTAGTGAACATAATAAGGGGAAAAGTAACAATTTGTTATCATGTTAAACCGATTGAAAATATTTTATTATATCGTCAAATTATCAAAATACAATATTGTATGCACGCAAATCCATACAACAAATAGAAACAAATATTTAAAATGTATAACCTCTTTTAGCGAATTTCCCTATAGGGAAGTAGCTATTACCGTAGGTGGCATGGTAAGACCTAGACCCGGGAGCCATATACTTTTTCATTTTGGTGTCCCTAAAGGCCAAAAACAATATTCGTTCAAATTTTTATATATGTATATATATATAGACTTATCCAGCACGATCGGACCATGGGAACGGGGCTTTACGGGGGGTTTTATGGGGTCACTTTTGACCCTCAAAACACAAAGTTTTCCGATTTCTCTTTAGACCTTTTTAAAGAGCTTAAAAAAACAAATAATTTAGTATATAAAAGTATTTTTGTTCGATTATTAGTAACGGAGAAAATTTAAAAAATTGTAAATTTAAAATTCCCATGTTATTCTTATGGAGAATATTTTCAAATGTTGTAGTTTGCTTGTTTATGGATATATTTTCATCAAACTTGGCAAATTTATTTATTTTGTACTAAGCTATCAATATTTTACTCAAAAACACACTTTATTACTTTCCTTGTAGCAGAAAACCTAGGTACTCGTTGAACCTAATGTTATTAAAATATATTAAACTGAAAATCAATTCAGACAAATGGAAATTCGCTAAGTCGGCAGGTTTGCTACGGCGGGGGTATTTTGTTCCAAGACAGGTAGGCTGCTTCCTGTACATATACACAACTCTATGAATACTATTTAATGCGTTGTTACGGTGTTAATGAGAGTTCAATCTAGCTATTTTAGATAAGAACGCTGTCAAGAAGTACAAGTGACATTGTTTAAATACTTGAACAGTAATCGTTGGTTGCTGTAATTTCAGTTGCTACAAGGGACTAAGTGCGATACAGGGGTCTATAAAATAATCATTTAAATTGAATATCGGAAAAGTTACTTAATAATTGTATCATTCGAGTGAATATTTTAGTTTTTATTGAAACAATGCGTAAATGTGCGTATTGTGTATTAGAGTGTAAATTTCATATCCGTTACTATAAAAATACATGTGTCTGTTCTGGTTTGATGCACTTTCCCAACGATCTTTAATTAAGTTATAATTTCAATACCGACTCCTTGCATGGCCTTAAGATGTTTCTTTTTACAAAATCTGAAACTCATGTTACAATTTGCGGATATAGGTAATTAATAGTTTTAAAAATAAATTTTAAAGAATTAACACAAAATATGAAAGAAATGTCTTTGTCAGAACACTCTTGAATGACGAGCAAAGAAAGAAGGAGTATTAATAAAGTTATTAAGGGGAATCCTATACTCTAATACGAGCAAAGTTTGCTTGTATGTATGCTTGCACCAGGATCTCGAAAACGGCTCCGACGATTTTCTTCAAATGTTGTATATAGTTTATTTCTGGCCTAAAAACGAGTTTACTGCAAATAGAACTGCCAACAAAAATCTAATTACGTAGAAAAATGAAACTGAAAATCACATTTTTTTAACATTAGTCTTATGGGTTGCTAGGTAACCATGTTGGCTGAATTAAATAACAAGGAAAAAGTAAACAAAAGACTTGTAATTTGTCTATCCACAGTATACTAGCAAAACAAAATACAGTACAAAAGGAAAAACATCAGTTGTTACTATTGAGGAAAAGTTATACTGAAGATTACTCGATTCTATAGTCAATGGTAGCAGTGTCGAGTGTGGGATTTGTTTATGACGATTAGATTACGGTATCTGCAATCCTTAAATGCTATGGAAAGGGAGGAAATAGGTCCACGACATAGGAAGTGGTGAAGGAAGTAGTAAAGGCGAGCAGTCTGGAGTGTGGGAACTGTTTTTAAGGTAATCTGCAATCCTAAAATGTAATGGGAAGGGAGGAAAACAGGTCCATGACGTAGGAAATGAGGAAGGAAGTTGTAAGGCTAGCAGTGCAGAGTGTGGGAACCGTCTGCGGCATTTATGTGTCTGCAATTCTAAAATAGTATAAGGAAGGAGGGCAAACAGGTCTCCGACATAGGGAGTGGTGAAGGAAGTAGTAAGGGTGAGCAGTCCGGAGTGTGGGAATTGTTAATAACGATTGGATCAAGTTATCTACAATCCTAAAATGCTATGGGAAGGGAGGTAATTAGGCCCGCGACGTAGGAAGTGGTGAAGGAAGTAGTAAAGGCGAGCAGTCTGGAGTGTGGAAAATGTTTATGACGATTAGATTAAGGAATCTACAATCCTAAAATGCTATGGGAATGGAGGGAAACAGGTCCATGACGTAGGAAGTGGTGAAGGAAGTAGTAAAGGCGAGCAGTCTGGAGTGTGAAAACTGTTTATGACGATTAGATTAAGGAATCTGCAATCCTAAAATGCTGTGGGAAGGGAAGGCAACAGGTTCACGACGTAGGAAGTGGTGAAGGAAGTAGTAAAGGTGAGCAGTCCGGAGTGTGGGAACTGTTAATAAAGATTAGATCAAGTTATCTACAATCCTAAAATGCTATGGGAAGGGAGGGAATCAGGTCCGCGACGTAGGAAGTGGTGAAGGAAGTAGTAAAGGCGAGCAGTCTGGAGTGAGGAAACTGTTTATGACGATTAGATTAAGGAATCTACAATCCTAAAATCCTATGGGAAGGGATGGAAAGAGGTCTGCGACATAGGAAGTGGTGAAGGAAT